TAGTCAAGTGTTTACATTATTATTTCACTTAATACAGATACTGTAAAAATCCCACAGATCATTTTGTTCTGTGCAGATAATTTCCTTCTGTTGCCTATAAAAAAGATTATGGGCTCTTAAGAAAGCTTAATTGCTGCGAATGAGTGATCTGGATCAGACAAAGTTGATAATGCTACCAAAAAACACACGGCTGTTTAAGGGAAATGCGAGCGTATCAATCGAAACATGCATACAGAGGCTGGGATGACTCGCAGTGCACCAAATGCTTTCTCAAGAGAATTGATTCAGTGCCGTCAGGGGAGGGAGCATGGGGGAATGGAAAATAATTATGTAGAGCTTTTAAGCATGAGAACAAAAAGTTTTAGATTTTATTCAAGAGGGAGCTAATGGGAAGACCAGCCTGCAGCTCTGTTGGGAAGTCAGGTGCTGTTTCAGGTGAATTCATGCTGCAGGTTTCCAGCTCCTGCTCTTGTCTGCATAAGACTGAGCCCTGACCCTGGATGCCTGTTCCCAGAGGGGCCCTGAAGAGTAGGGAGCCATAGACCCCCAGCTTTACAGAACCCTGGAGTCAGAGCTATAGGAGGGCTTCAGAAGTCTCAGCATATGTGCCAATATGTGTGCATTCTTGAAACACCAAGAATCCTGACACACAAGATTTCCTAACTCCCTCATGCTGTCTGTTTAATGGGTTGTTAATTAGCTGTTCCACTATACCGATTCAAGCTGAAGTCACCCAAACATTTGTCCCTTTTGCTCCTGGGTTATTTTTCAGCATAACTTCAGGGACACAAAGTGGTCTGGGGGCATCTGCTCTGGATGTGAAGTTACTTTATTATTTGTTTTCCTTATTGATGCTGTGTCCTGGCTTCCACTTGGCTGGACCATCGTAACACTAGCCTGCCAATGGCATTTTGGCAGACCCCTCTTGGTTGGTCTCTGAGCATTTCTTTCTTATGAGCCCTGTGATGTAATGGATTATTGTGTGCTCCTAGAATCTGGCATGTTAATTTTGAGCTACTGTTTTTCTGATTCTGCCTTTACATGGTTTCTTGGTAGTATCTGCTTATAGTATCAGTCCTCTGGATGAGATCTGCTTTGCTTTACGGTGCGAACTACATCTCCTTTTTGAAGAGTCATCAGCCACTTGGTCTGCAGGACAGGGATCTGTTGGTTTCCTAACAGCTATATTGTAATGTTGTGTAGACATAAAGCTTTAAACTGTTCCAATGTGGGCACTTCATATAATTCTTCCAAGGAATATTGAGCAAATACCTCCCCAGTTTGTGGAGATCTCCTCAGGATTGTGCTGCTGTCTCAATACCATATCCCCTTGATGTTTTGAACTACTTTTTTTGCTTCTGAATAAGTTATTTGGAATTGCTTAAGTTCCCACAGTCTGTTCCAGGTGTTAGAAGACTTCTTAGCTGAGTCCTCCCCTTGCAGAGCTCTGCAATCCAAAGCCTTGAAATCTGCTCCTGGGATTTCCCAAGTTTACCCACCTTTGCTCGGATGGTCCAGTGGATTGAGAACGTTTCCTTCTGCTTTAAATCCTTCACAGGCAGTGTTTTGGGAAGTTGAGTATGATAATTTTTGTAAAGGAGTTTTTCGTTATAATAACTTTGCTCATAAAAGGCATTGGAAAGCTACTGAGCTCTGCAGATAGCAGGGGTATTAAAATGTAACCTTCTTCAGTCTGGCTTGCTCCTTCTGCGGAGCAAAGATCTGTAGTTCCCTGGGGACTTCTCCCACTCCTCCTTGTTCTGCTGCTAGGCAGTGACTCAAAAGCTTTGCCACCATAGTTTCAGTAATTTAGATGTTCCTGTCCCAGCTCTGTTCCTCACCTCTGCTTCTCAGCCCTTCAGCACAAGCGTGTGTGGTGCCAGCTGCTGCAGTTTGCTTTGTGGTGTATTAGCAAAAAAACCCTCCTTCATCTTGGAGAGAGATAATATCTTCAGCTGCTAAAGTCCCTGGAACAAAAGTCAAGCTGTGTATCTATAGTGTCTCTCACTCCCACTGTTTTCTTTTCTTGCATCGAACTTAAGCCTCTTTCTGCTATAGTTCTCTGTATGAAAAACATTGTTTCAGAGGTCAGTGAGTTAGAGGGGAAGAGACAATGTAAAGTGTTTAATGGCTTTTCCCTGATGGCCTTTCAGCAACGTGCCGAACGCCATTCCTAGATAGGGCACCACTCTGAAATGCAGTGTAACAACATGCCCCAAGGCACCATCAGAACTGCATTCAGTACATGATGCTAAATGGAGTTCACATTTTCCTAAAACTTTATCCCACTGTGTTTTAATTTGAATGGAAGGATAAGATAAGGGTATCATTAAAGCAGAAGGAGAAGTTGCAGTAGTTAAGTGGTGATTTATAGTACTGATCAGCATTTTAATTAAAATCTGAACAGACAAGAACCTTCACGTAAAAGTAAAAAACAGCAGAACCCTTTGGATGGAAGACAAATTGAGAGAGAGGAGAAAAAGATAACCATCAGACTTTGGGACTACTTAGGACTTTATAAACACACACAACGCTGTCTTGAGCCTGCATTTACCTGAATATCAGCTAGGTAAGCTTCTGGAGAAGTATTTATGAATATCAGTATTTCACGTATTGGCTCTGATGGAAAATACAACATGGTATAAAGGAACACTAGCTCTGGTATAGTTCCCTAAGCAGCACTCTATGCTTTAAAGGCCCACTCTTATAAATTCCTTAGTCTGTGAAGTTACTTGAATTATCTTGAAACTTTCTTTAACTTTGTGGATTGCTGAGGATTTGACTAGTCAGTTCTTGTTAGTTCAGCAAGGCACTGATGAGTTAACTCCCTTAAATAAAAAGCACTTCCAAAAAATCACCATTTTAGCTTTTTTTCACCTTTCTGGGGGATTAATCATGTCCCATCTGGTTGCTGTCACGCAATATCAGTTTTAGCTAGTGTGTAACAGTATTGAAAAAGTTACTAGAAGAGAAGAATATGAATCGAAACATGCCTGTGCAACAAGATGGAGGGAAGAGGTTTTGCAGAGCTCTTTGACTGCTTGTCAGGGGACCAGATCAGGAAAGAATCAAGAGAAATTCCAGGAGCAGAACTCTGGATGAGTGAACTGAAAGAGAGAAAGAAGCATTCAGTTTGTTTCCCTCTCCCCACACTATTAATCTAACCTGTCTTAGATTAACCCATTCCTCTTCTGTTAAGAACCTCTTCCTGTTTTTCTTCCCAGAAAACCTCTTCCTATTAGACCATGGTATTATTGATTGTTCTTCTTGATTGTCTGCCACAACACTGCCCAGAAACCTGGTATTACTCTTGTTCTCTCAGGATTGCCATAGTGTGTCAGGCTGCTTGCTCTACATGCATGCATGAAGCATGTTACCATACCCCCTCCTTCACGCTCCAGATGCTGGATGTTACTGACGGTGGAATCAGAAGCTGCAGGCCCTCTTTCTCCTCCACTTTCAATTTGTAAAAGCCACCAAGGAGAAAACAAGATTATGACTTTGGGGGATTATAGGGGATGAGCCCCAAATTGCTATTACCAGACTTTGTCTGTTCAGCCTAGCAACTGTTTTATCACTGGGAGGAATAGCAGCAGCATCAGCTCTTCTAGTGTCCAATGCAGCCTTCTACACTTCATTTTTACAAAACAATTCAGAGAAGTTATTACTTTAGATTTGCCTTTTAAGAGCAAACTTTGCTGAAGCTGATTAACAGGCTACTTGACTTGTCTGTTCTGGGCTAGATATCGTCCATAGGCCAGCAGTTAAAAAAACTGATGAACCTTTTATCAGAGTAACAGGGTTGCTCAAGGGACTGGTACCATCAAGGGTGTGCTGTGCCCTTGCACTCAAAGTTTGAACTCTTTATTTTGCAAAAATCCACAAGCAGTGTTAGATCATCTATTCTGTTTCAGGGAAATTTTATTTTGGAGAGCTTTGCACTGCTAATGCCTGCAGAGAATATTTTAAATAGGTCTTGACCCTTCTCTAAAAGATAATAAATTATACATATTCTTTACAAATATGCAAGAGCAATTTCTGGGCATGTTTCCACTCATGCTCCTGGGGAATTATTATAAAAAAGCTCAAATATTGATTAATCAATTAGAATTGATTAGCTCAAAGGAAGATGAAAGAAAGCATAATGCAACTGTATTTTATGAATAGTGGACTCTTATACTTAGGGCCAAAGCATTCCCCAGAGCAATGGGGAAGAACTGTTCACTAAGGCATGTAGCAATAGGACGAGGGGTAATGGTTTTAAACTAGAAGAGCGTAGATTTAGGTTGGATATTAGGAAGAAGTTCTTCACTATGAGGGTGGTAGATCACTGGAACAGGTTGCCCAGAGAGGTGGTGGAGGCCCCATCCCTGGAGATGTTCAAGGTCAGGCTTGATGGGGCTCTGAGCAACGTGATCTGTCGCTGCTTACTGCAGGGGGTTGGACCAGATGACCTTTAAAGGTCCCTTCCAACCCATCACATTCTATGTGAATGAAACGTGCTACTAACAGAAGAGTCTCCTAATGCTTTTATGTTCTTACAACTTTTGGTGAATTAACAGGAATACGTATATGAAAGAGAGAGCTCAGAATGCCTGAACATGTTAATACTCTGCTCTCCTAGATGGCACAAAACTCTTTGCAAACTAATGGCTTCCCAAACAAATAGTACTGCACTTAATCCTCTTTTTTCCTTAAGGCAAAATTAAAGCTTATATGAGATCTAGCAAACAAGCATTCTCTCTACCTTGCCTATAATCAGTTATTGAAGATATTCTGCAAAAGAACAACCCATTGTGAGGTACCTTCAGCTTAAGAATTTTGGAAATTATTGCAACTCTGAATTATTTCTGCCCTTTTTTTTTTCTTTTAGCAAACTGCTAAAATGTCGGCCAACTTACTCAGAATGGCTAGTTACAAAATTTAAAGAGTGTTACTGAGCCTGATTGATGAGTATTTGCATACTTGAGAGGCAGAATACTGTAACATATAACTAGGTGGAGGAGAGTTAAGGTAAATTCTCAAGGAAAATATTACTACTTGGAAATACTGATTATACATAGAAATATAAATTAGATTATTTAATAGTGAAGAAATAAATGCCTTTTGATTAGTTTACAAGTGAGTATTACACAAGGGAGCTAAACATTTTGAATTGGATCAATAGTACTGCTAACATTTATATCAGCGTTCTAGGGCAGTATATGTACATGGTTTTGTTCTGAAAAACAAATGCTTGAGACTTGAATTCTGTCATTTGCTCTTCCTTCTCCAAGGTCCTGGCATGTTGATTAAGAACTCCCTTTCTTCCTGTGGTTTCCCTGCCCGCGTTTTGCTGACTTTCACACTCTCTCTCTCTCTCTCTCTCTCTCTCTCACCCTCTCCCTCACCCTCTCCCCTCTCTCTTTTTCTTTTTCCTTTTTTCTTCCTGTTCTGGTATTGTCTGCTTCATTACCATCTTAATGTCATGCTGAACATTAATTCCTTGATATTTCAATGAGGATGTTGGCCAACAGGATGCTGTTTTAACTTGGGCTCATCTTAGCAAAATGGTTGTAGGAGTAAAGAATGAAGTGGTTTGTGACCTTGGTTTAGGCCAATGCAAGAAGTGTGTAATGTTATGCAGTTGTGAAGGTTGAAATTCTGTCTTTAGATGCTCATGAGCAATTTATACTGCAGACAAGATCTATGTAATCATTGGCAGGGACAAGAAGGGAACACTGGAAGATGAAAAAGCTAGCACTTTTTGACTGATCCACACATTTCTGTAGCATGAACGTTTTTATGTCTCTAAGGTTTTATCTGCATATTTGGGAGGCTGAACAGTTAATTTGAAGAGTAAAATTTTTTAAAATAGATTATAAATTCCTGTCTTTGTGTCCTTTTAAATAGGAACAGATGTCTCAGGTGTTGGATGCAATGTTCGAAAAGCAGGTTGAAGGAGGGGAACATGTCATTGATCAAGGGGATGATGGTGACAACTTCTACGTCATTGACAGGTGAGTCGTTGTATCTCATTGTAGCACAAAGTATTATGCAAAAGACCATTGAAAAAAATCTATTTTTCTAGGCACTTGTATTTAACTTTTACATATGTTTGCATAGGAGAAATTAAAAAGAATACACATTAACCAGTACAGCTCTGTATGAGCTGCAGAGAGTGGTTTCTGAAAGGAGGCAGGTTTTTCATATGGAAATATCTCCCCATCCTTTTTATGTATTGCTAGATCCCAAAGGCCGTTGTTTTGGGGTTTTTTAACATGGAAAGAGATCTAATACAGAACACAATGGGAAAAGTTTTACAGCTCAATATTTGAAATCTTACTGCATTTCAATACTATCTGTAGACTTTCTCATTCATGTGAATATTATCAGACCTTCAGTAACTAAGCCGCTACTCTTCATTTGCAGATCCGTACGGGAAAAAGTGGGTAACTAAGTAAAATCCTAGATACTGTTGAATCCACTGAGTTAGGAAGAGTGTTTATTTTGGGATCCTTCACTAGTCCATTTGCCTTTAGTTTTAGGCTAATACAGTGATTTCTGATAGTGTTTGAAAGGAATATTATGCTTGAACTCTGAAAGAAATGTGAAGGTTTTTGGTCAGTGTAGATCAGTATAATCTGCCAGTCAAAAGAGGTGAGTATCCTGCTGTATTTAGCATTGGTGCAGCCTCACCTTGAATATTGCGTGCAGTGCTGGGCCCCACAATTTAAGAAGGATGTGGAGGTACTTGAATGCTTCCAGAGGAGGACAGCAAAGCTGGTGGAAAGGGCTGGCAGGAATGTCCTGTGAGGAGCAGCTAAGGACTTTGGGCTTGTCTAGTTTGGAGGAAAAAAGGCTGAGGGGCGACGTCTTTGCTCTCTGCAGCTTCCTGAGATGGGGATGTGGAGAGGGAGGTGCTGATCTCTTCTCCCTGGTATCCAGTGATAAGATGTGTAGGAATGGTTCAAAGGTGCCTCAGGCAAGGTTTAGACTGGACATCAGGAAGCATTTCTTTACTGAGAAGGTGGTCAAACACTGGAACAGGCTTCCTGAAGAGGTGGTGGATGCCCCAGGCCTGTCAGTGTTATAGAGGTGTTTGGACAATGCCCTTAACATGCTTTAACTTTTGTCCAGCCCTGAGTTGGTCAGGCAGTTGGACTGGATGATTGCTGTAGTCCCTTCCAACTGAAATATTATATCAGAAGATTGTGAAGTGTGTTGGGATTCTTCACTGAAGAGTCAATGTTTTTCAGCTTTTTGAGGTTACAGTTTGTCATCTCTTATTGAAAAAGCTGCAGGGACTTGACAGTATTCTGTCAGCCTTGCATTTTTTAGATGCAGTGAATCACTTTTACTTCCCTTATCAATTAAATCATTGTACAGATTTTTGCATTACATTCACATGATTTATCAACACTACCATACAAATATTAAGCAATGAACAAAATGATGGCACAGCATCAATGGGGATGGCTGTGTCATATTTTACAAGAGACCAGATTTTACTGCATTCCCAAAGCAAAAAAAGAGTTACTAATTTAATTATGGGGAGAAGAAATCCACAATATATTAGATAAATACATACATTTATTTCATAATCTTATGTTGCTTTTTGTATACATTCCTTCTGTTTTCTGCATCTCCTCTATTTATAACATCATCAATTACTACTTACAAGTTATTTAACACTTGAAATATTTTTGTTATTATTTCAGTGATCATATCACAGCAATTTTTGCAAAGTCTTGTTATATTTGCATTTAGTGTGTTAAAAGTGAAATTAAGAAACATATTAAGTTAGATCATAATTTTTAATAAGTTCTGGTGATCAATATCACTGTACATTCAGTCTATCTTTAAACTGAGTTAATGTAAAACCTAATAACCCTATCCTTCCCTTTAAAAAGGAACTACATCTATTATTTATGCAAATGATTGAGCTGTATCTGCAAGGTGTTCAATATCATTTAAACAAATGAATGTATATTTAAAATCCTTTATCTTTGGAATTCATGGTATTAAAAAATGTAGTGAAAAGCTGCTTAGCAAAGACCAGTACTGGATTCTACTCACTGTATTTATGTATTTTATTAACAGAGGTACATATGATATTTATGTAAAATGTGATGGTGTTGGGAGGTGTGTTGGAACCTATGATAACCGAGGGAGTTTTGGCGAGTTGGCCTTAATGTACAATACACCCAGAGCAGCTACAATTATAGCTACCTCGCCTGGTGCCATCTGGGGTTTGGTAAGTGAAATACTTGTTTTAAGATATTATTTGTTTTAATTATTTTACATAAATTGCACTGGTATGCTATATCAACATTAAAAAATTAAATATAATTTTGGAAAGTTTAATTTTAAAACTTGTGAGAAATCCCAACACAATACTGTATTTTTCCAGAACCTGCAGAAGGAAACCTGAGGCTTAAGAAAACACAGAGTTTTTAAACAAATAATTCTATTTTAATGGTAATTTCCCAAATTGCAAACCACTTGACTATTACTTAGACACATATATAAAATGTTTTCCCACGTCTTGATAGGAAATGCTTTTCATTCCAGAGTAAAATTCAGATATGAGTTTATTTATCAGTGTTATACTGGCTGGATCTTTGATAACAGTAATGTAATTTACCAAAAGAGTACAACTGGGACAGCTGTCTTCTTCAAGATGTACATATCAGTCTAGTGACTGATCCCAATATAACATTTTCCTGTTGAAATGAAACACATGTTTTTCACCAAATTAATCCATGACTTTTGGGATCATGGCAGTGTTTTGGACACTGTAAGGATGCCTTTAAATTGGATTGGGTTGTACTGGCCAGCAAGTCCCATCTGTAGCAAGGAAGACTTGCAAAGCATTTCATGTCTGTCTGTCACCAGGACACAGTCATATGAAGTTAAGAGAAGAAAACAGCATATGTGTAGTTATTCCATCTGTCTGCTTCACTTGGATTGCCAAATACTGCGGAATGTCCAGTTAGCTGTTTAGAGCAGCAATGAGTCTAGTTCTGCTGAAATGGCAGAAAGTGGACTGAGACCTAAGACCTAGACACATGTATTTTTGTTTTATTTGTATAATAATATAAAAAACTTTTTGAGTACATATCAATATGTATCGGACCTCAGGATCATGAATAGACTTTGTAAATTAAATATTTAAATATTGAAGATTTAAAAAATATTTTAAATTACCCACTCAGTGTTCACTTGTAGTCAACCTGTTTAAGGTAAACTCTCTACTTTCTATATGTGAACTCTCTATGTGTGCTCTGCCAAAGGGCAGAGCTTTTCACAATATGAATCAGATCGGGAGCTTGATGTTAGGAGCTCTTGATTGACCTCTAGAGGAATCTTTCTCAATTGACTGTGTGGGGAGAGTGAGTTTGAATTACTAAAAGTCTAGGTGATCCTGCTCTGGCAGGGGGTTTGGACTGGATGATCTTTCTCTTCCAACTTCTAATATTCTGTGATTCTGTGAACTGGGTCATTGGAACATCAGCCTTTTCTGAAGTATTTTCTACCACACACGTATTTTCTGTTAATAAATTCCTTTTTTTTTCTCTCTTGTGTTTACAGGACAGGGTAACGTTCCGAAGAATCATTGTGAAAAATAATGCCAAAAAGAGAAGAATGTATGAAAATTTTATTGAGTCATTGCCATTCCTTAAATCTTTAGAAGTAAGATTCTTGCTGCATTATTTCATCAGAGGCACCTAATAAGATTCTGCTTTTGCAGAGTTTAAATTTGGAATTAAAGTTTTCTCCACAGTAAAATTTTGCATACTTTTGTTTTGGTGAAAGACCACATTGTTGATATTTCTAAAGTTCCAGGATAAATAACTATTGTTAATACTGTAATTTTTACAAAATTATTTTTTTACCTTTATCTTATTTTTTTAAGTTTAATTTTACTATATATGAAACAATTACTTAGGGAATTTTAAAATATTTTCATTTAACAGCTATATTTTTACATGCATACTTTCTGAAAATGATTTTTCAAGATTGGGATATATAGACTTCTTACAAAAATGGAAGCTCTGTCAAAACATGTAGCTGTTAAGACTATAATATACCCTCTGGAATACTATTCAGCAGTTCTTCCTTTATGAAATTATTATCAAAACAGGAAAATAAATATACACTAGTCTGTGCAAAGATTCATGAAAAGAAACGTGAAGCAGCTTTCTAAATATAATATTGTAATGTTAACCAAATATTTCTTACTTTTTTTTTTTAAATTAAGGTATCGGAGCGTTTAAAAGTGGTTGATGTGATTGGCACCAAAGTGTACAAAGATGGAGAACAAATAATTGCTCAGGTACAGTTTATTTCTAGTTTGTTTTTCTTTTCCAATAGGTATTAATTATCATGTTATCTATAGACAGTACATGCTTTTAAACTAGCTTTTTCTTTGTCAAACAAAACAAAAACAATGACTCTTGTATCTAAAAGAGGTGATTATTTTGTTTCAGAAGGTAAGTTTTCACTTACAGTACTTTGAAAAACATCCCTCTTTGTTGGTATGAATAAAGGAGTCAACGTTTTTAGTATATTTAGGAATTCAAACTATATGAAAGAATGATTGCTTGCAATAAGGAGCACTAAAGACTTACCTTCTTTTTGTTGTTAAAACACGTGAATCTTTTGAAAAAGTATGCAGAAGTAAACTCTTCAGGGCAGACAACTGAGATTGTCTTGCCCAAAATTAGTTATTGGATATCAGGTGGCCCTTGGAAGCTTTTTATATTGGAAACACTGTAAGGGAAATAATTTGGAAAGCATACGAAGGTGGAGAAACAGAAGGAAGGATCCTAAAATCTTTCATGACCTTGTTTTTCTCTGCTTTTTGTATAAGGCAGTGTCAGCTATGTCTTGTCATGAAAAAGCCCTGCTGTCAGTTCTGTACAGATGTTTTGTTTATTATATATTTATTTGATTATATATTGAGATGTGCTTTGAGTATGGTTTTCACATTAAAAATTATTTATTTTGCAACAGGTATCAAAAGGATGAGCTTCAAGGCACTGCCTGCAAATATTTTAATGTTACCATGAAACTAAAAAGGAAAATTTTCCCATTTCCTTTATTTTTTTCTTCTACAGGGTGACTTGGCTGATTCTTTCTTCATTGTGGAATCCGGAGAAGTAAGGATTATAATGACAAGGAAGGTAAAGATCCCTAAAATAGCAAATTTTTTTATTTAAATTTTGACATATTCTAAATGTAAAACAGTAATGCTAACATAGTTACTGATTTTACTTATACAATCTTTAGTTCATAAAATCTCTCATTCTCTCTCTCCCTTTCTCTTTTTTATCTGATATTTCAGGGTAAACAAGATGTAGAAGAAAATGGAGCAGTTGAAATAGCTCGATGCTCAAGAGGACAGTATTTTGGAGAACTTGCTCTTGTAACTAACAAACCACGAGCCGCTTCTGCATTTGCTCTTGGCACGGTCAAATGTTTAGGTACTGTTCAATAATATTTTATGTCTAATATAAAATGATACATAGTCTATCTGGTTGGTTTTATTGTGAACTCTGTCTTTCTCCAGAATATAAGATTTAAGTACATTTACCCAAATAAGACTGTTTAAGTACATAATTTATTACTGTGCATTCCTATTTACATTATTTATCTGCAAAAATTATTTGCAATTGATAACTGGTATTAAACACACATTCTCCAATGTATTTCTGATCACATGGAAGTAAAAATTGTTTCAGAACAGTACAGTGAGTATTGCTGCAAACCATTTATAGCTATCAGGTAAATGTCTAATACTCTGTGGAAATGTAAAGTATTTCTTTTCTCAGTACACTGACTCTCATCCAAGAAATAACTGTGGTAAAAATCCTGTCCTGTTTCATCACCATGGCTTAAGCTTTAACAAATTCTTTGTCTTCACCAGCTGTTAATTTAATCCTAGCCTCAGGCACAAGAAAAGCAAAGGCTGTCTATGAGCACAGCTCATAGACAACCCTTCATTGCTTTTCATTATCTAATGTTTAGCTCCTAAATATTTGCATCTAATTATGGGAAAACCACAAACTGTAAAAACAAATTTGGCATTCTTGAATTACAATTTGATTACCAAGCCAGTAACCAAAAAGTTTATCGCTTACTTATTAAGGTATTATTTTTTAAAATCCTTATCTCCAAACACACAGAGGCGATCAGGCAGTAAAGATCAAAGATGACAAAGAGGGGAAAGAATAAGAGGCAGTGGTGCAGTAGGGTGTCATTACCCAGTATGGGTGAGTCACTGACATCTCTGGCACTTCCCAGATAGCAGAGTTCCTGAACTTTTCTCAAGAGCCAAGAGACTACAGGCCACCAGGTTGCAAGCTGGTTGAAGTATGAAGTTTCCTCCCTGGCCTATTGGCTAGAACTATAGAAGATAACATTATGTTATCAGGTAAAGAAAATATTCTGGTTGGCTACACATTGGCATTACATGTGAATTACTGTCTCCAACTTTTTGTATGTTTGCTGGTAAATAATTATCCATTACAATTCCCACTGTGGGTGAAAGCAAGTAAAAATAGCAAGAAATATGCTAAGCTAGACCCCAAATACAGCCAACAACATCAGCAAAGGATGTGATCTTTTGAAATCTAAAGGGTCTTAAAACTGCATTCGGTGGAGGAATCCAGGTCCCTCCAGACTCCTTCAGCAGCTCTTGGGTGACATAAATCTTAATATGAAAATATTTTCAAAATAAGAAATGCAGCAAGTTCTGAGTTTATTGATGAAGTTTCAAAACAGCAGTGTGTTAGTTAATCTTGGTTTTGCTATGGTAAGTGGTTCTCTTCTGTGCAAATAAAGTATGTGCCTCAGTAGTATCTCTCCAGTTTATCAGTTAAAATTTTACATTGGGATGTCATAAACACCAAGATTAGTGTCTGCAACTGATGAGCATGTTATATTTTTTCCTCTTTCTCTCCCCTTTTATCCTAGTTATGGATGTGCAGGCATTTGAAAGGCTTTTGGGACCTTGTAAGGAAATTCTGAAAAGAAACATTGCAAACTATGAAGAGCAGCTAGTTGCTCTGTTTGGATCAAACATGGACATTGCTGATACCAGTGCATGAACTAAACATCGGACCAGCGAGATCTGTTACGAAGAACATAGCACAGTAGTGGTTAGTCCACTAAGAAATTGTCTCTCTTCCTATAGATGCCAAGCATTTTTTGTGATTTTAAGAGTGGGTTTGGGGGGTATTTTTTTGATTTATTACAGTGGAAATACTAGTAAACAATACAGGAATTTAATAAGTTGTGGACTTGATTTTTGAAAGTGCTTAGCACTGATGGTTCCATCTGGCATTAAGACAACCCATCTTAGCACAGTACCTTTGAAAATCAAGTCCTTTAACACAGCATTTCCTTAGAGAGTAGATTTCAAAAAACCTACATGCGATGAATTTGTTAAACCAGCTTTTGTTCTTCAAAAAGGTTACAACTTTTCTGGAAAGACTGTTAGTTTGAATGTGATATGTTGAAAGTATTAGTGCACACAAAGTGTTCATATGTATTAATACAGAAGATATACAGTAGATATTACTTTCTAACTATTACAGTTGTCATGATTTTATGTTGCATTTATCACAGATGTAGTGAATCACAAGACTAATCGTAATATAAAGCATGACAATGCATTTTGTGTAACGCTCATGACCCAAATCTGATTTTTAACATTTTGTAATTTGTTTTAAAGTCCTCTTTGTTTAATATGTCATGTTTTGGCACGACATTGTAATATCTTATGCAATTCAGAGGACTTGTATATTTTTGCAATAAACTGCATTTTTTTATTAGTTATATGTATTCTGTACAGTCTAGAGTGAGGACAGCTGACAAATTAACCTTAATGCTTACAAAGCAAAGGCATAGGTCATTGTCATGTTCTGCCTGATCATACATAGCCTAAATTGTTTTCCTTCTCCCTTGTTTTATATTTATGCATTTTGTCTTCTCTTTCTAAGCTTGTTCTCTAGTTGTTTTTTTGTAGGTCTCACCGTTTTTATCTGTTAAAATTTTTACCTATTTCAAATGAAGTGATCTCTGTATATCTCTCTTCTTGCAGTCTAATCTTAGCTTTCAAAGACCAGATTCAATTACTGAAGTGATTGATACTGAAAGCCATGCTAAACTAAGCTTGTCCTTGAAAAATCCTTATCAGAAAGTACAAAAATACTTTTGATTTGAAACATCAGTACTTCAAGAAGCTTTGCTCAAGTCTGGAAAGTATGTCGTCATCAAAGCGAACATGTTCTGCTTTCAAAAACCTGCAGGTCATCATAAAATAAAATCTTTTTACCCATAATAGCATGGGATACCTTCTGAGACTGAGGAGAGAGAACATCATCTTAATTAGGAGCACAGGGCTCATTGCTTACAAGGGTCTGTGACTGGAAATTTCAGGCACAGTCCAATTTTAATATTGCTTACTGACCTGTCTGTTGATTTACATGGAAAGCTAGTGCACATAATGGCGACTGGCAAGTAGTTCTGCCAAAATGATGCTACAAGAATTGTAGGAAGGCTGCTTGTGCCCGTTTTCAAACACCTGAATTACAACATCTTTCTTTCTTAGATAGTGACTTTTCTAATGCCATATATTTGTTGATGTAATTATTATCCTATAGTTAGTGGTACGTTCTGACAATTTATATAATCATACCTGTATATGAAATTATGATTATATACTGTGATAACAATATATAATTTATATCATACAGTATGGTATAAATTATAAGTCAGATTCATAACAAAATACAATCTGAGCAAAATTTACAAATGTCATTTTTTTAAATCTAGAAACCTGGTAAGAATAATTGCACATATGATAACTTGCCTTTGTACTTTTGATTTATGGAAAAAAGAGAAGCCAGTTAAACTAGAAGGAAGTATCAGGTAACCAAAATCTACACTCTTGTCATTCTGTATGCTTAATCTCTAAAAGCTACCTGTATTTTGCACTAGCTTGATGTGATTAAGAAAAATTGCTAGAAATAACTTGTATGGCAGTAAACTACAGTCAAGGCCATAAATGCCAGTCACAATATTTTCAATATTGTTGGTTATATTTAAAGTTTCCTTACAATAAACAACACTTTTATATAAAAATCTATGTTTATTGATATTATTGTGTTTTAATTCCATTATCATAAATTTACAAGTGACCTATCTATATTCATTTAGTAAAACATTCATAATTTTTAACACTATAATGTTGATTTTCAAAAATTATGTTATGCAGATGCTCTGTCTACTCAGACAGCATGTTGACGTGGCAATTGCCGTAGCTACTTTGTTTGTAGTTTTTAGCTGGGAAAAAGCTGTGAAGTGACAAATTTAAGATAATCAGAGACTTTGCATTTTCTGAGTCCCAAAGTACAGCTTCATTTTGCGGCAGCTTTATGGTGTTGCTCTTGGGCCTGGGTGATGTCGGGAATTGTCTTTGTTGGTGAATTCAGGGGGGTTAACCAAGAGTAACAAATTGTCACTCTGTAAGTTGGGGGATTGGACTAGATGATCTTTTGAGGTCCCTTCCAATCCCTAACGTTCTGTGATTCTGTGAAGTTCCATCCAAATCATCATATCCTTCATCAGTCAGCACTTGGGATTTCTCCTGGATCTGTTCATAGGTACAATTCACACGTGCCAGTCTTCATGTCATAAATGTGGCGAGTGTTCATCCTAAGAAGGAAATCATACCAAATCACTGATTTTTTAATGGCCTTTCAAAAAAGTAGATAATTCTAATAATTTTAAACAATACTATGTCATGTTTACCTTATGAGAGTGTCTATGTTCATACTTAGATTACCTGATTCTGCTGTTACTAAGGATTTTATCGTCCTTGTTTGTGGTCAGTTGGCTAAAGGAATGGGACTTTGGCAATTACTTGGCATGTACGCGTTCCTTTGTTTCTCTCCCTTTCCCCAACTTCAACAGCAATTTTCAATTCTGCAGATGATTTAAATAAATTCAACAGATAGGTAAGTACTAAAGAGGGGGAGGAGGAAATAAATGCATCAGTTAGTTTGTTGAAAACATGCCCCACTGGGTGAGGAGAGAAAAGCCTGAGGGAAATGGCACCAAGCTGTGCCAAGGGAGGTTCAGGTTAGAGATAAGGAGGAAGTTCTTTACTGAGAGGGTTGTCAGAGGCTGGAACAGGCTGCCCAGGGAGGTGGTGGAGTCACCATCCCTGGATGTGTTTAAAGAGCGGGTAGACGAGGTACTTAGGGATATGGTTTAGGGGGTAGACAGGAACGGTTGGACATGATGATCTCAGAGGTCTTTTCCAACCGAGCGATTCTGTGATTCTGTGAAATCTTGTATGAGAAAGAATTTCATGGGCTCACATGTTCCTAAGCAAAATAGAATGCACATGGGAAAAAAAAATGATCACAGTCCTCAGTCAATCACGAGACACAAACCTTGAGGAAAGCAAGCTTCCTTGGTCCTAGTGCTGATGCCATCACTTTTTGTGTTTCATTTGTTTGTGCTTCATGAGATTTCATTCAAGTCGATCTGGAATAAACAGTTCCGAAATAATTCCCTTCTGGATCTCCTGTGTGAGGTCCAGCAGTTACTTGTGGATATCTTGGGGCAAAGCTGTGAAGAGCATTGTGACACCATACACAGCCTAAACCACTGTCGCTCCATCTTCTTTCCTTGTGGTGCTGTTTGTATTCAGTAGACTATTCTGGTCCTTGCTGGAATGGGGGGGTTGATTTGTTTCATTTGAAATGTTTGGTACTTTAAGCTTTCTATAAGGTGTCTCTGGGATCAGTTACATCACAATTTGTGTCATTTTGTAGTTTATGACACTTTCTGCAACAGACATGGTTATTGTTTTTCAGTATCAAGAGTTCCCAGATGTGCAAAATCAGTATGTGCTGGTCATTTTTCAGAGACCTGGCACATCAAATTCATAGTTGTCTTTTTTCAGATGCTTTCTGCATGTGATATTTTTTTTGCTGAACAAAGTACTTTGCTGAAAGTCAGTTTGCCACAGCATGGACATTCTTATGTGCTTTTGCTAAAGTTTTATTTTTAAATCTTTTTTTTTATACATTCATACATGTGATGGTTATAGGTGTGTAATTTTTTTGAGTTTTAAGATACTTTCCTGTGTCTGTAGTCCTCTTTGTATGCTGAGTATGTACAGATTTGTGCTGTTGAATGTCTTAGAAAATTTAGGATAATTTTCAAATCATTCTGAGAGCTGGATTTCCTTCAGGTATATACCAGACGGTTTCCAAGTTCTTAATCTACTTTTTGGTTCAGAAAAATGCTTAACGGGCTTGACACTCACTTTGTGGGCTGAAGGGAAGCTCAATCATAGAACAGTTTGGGTTGGAAGGGACCTTCAACCTCATCCAGTCCAACCCCTGCCATGG